TAATAGGGTTTTGGGCCCCAAATACCATAATCTTAATGGTATTTGGGCCCTAAACCCCTATTATTTGGGTCCTTGGACCCTTAGGGTACTAAGCTACCATAATTTCCGTCGCCTGGATTTAGGGTTTCGAGGGTTCGATGTTTACGGATATAGGATCTTGCAGGACTTTCTCCATCAACCATGCCACATCCCAAGGTCCTGGAGAACCCTTTCTTCCCGATTTCAGGGTCCTACTCTGGATCGTGCATCATTTTGTATATCCTTCACCCGCAAGAATTGCAGGTCCTTTTTGGTGGCTTGCTGGGTACGTGATTTCCGTCTATCCACCGTACACGGCTTATATAGCAAGTGGAATGTCCTGTTAGCTTCAGGGTAAGGGTTTAGGGCTTTTGGTTCAGGTATGACAAGAGCTCACTATATTGTTACCATGAGTCTCAAGCGCAGGGATACCGCTAACTCCCTATCGTCCAGGGACACGTCCGCTCAGCTTGCAATCAATTTCGAATACTCCCTTAGCCAACACTGTGCTGTAGCACAGCTGCAATACCACGGAAGCCCCGACTCTGAACTATGCGAGCTGGCAACCGCACACACTAAGCAGCAAACTCGAAGCTGCACATCCAAAACTCAAACCTCAGACCACAAAGGACTCCCTAGCCTGAACTCCCTAAACTCTCGGAATCCCCTCAACTCCCAACAACGACCCTCCAGACCCCTGAACCCTGCATGCTAGACCCCAAAACCAAGAAAACCACCTGAACCTCCTGAAGTCCAAGTTGCCGGTGCTTCATACCCATGCAATCCCTAGTGCGGGGATTGATTTAGGCCCTATTTGACAACACCCTGTCTACCCCTTGTATGGAAGTTTCCATGAACAGGCGGACACCTCAGTATAGGAAGCCTCGAAAACAAAATCCACTGATTTTTGGAAATCCCATAACGCCCTAAACCCTGAACCCTAAACCTAGACCCAAACCCTGAGCCCCACACTAAATCCTAAACCCTGAACCCTAAACCCTGAACCTTAGACCCCAAACCCTAAATCCTGAACCCCAAACCCTGAACCCTACACCCTAAATCGCAGCTGCAAGGGTGGCATGGCCGGGAGGGGGCCTCCAGCGTCGCTGGGGTCCGCCTTGTGGCCCCTTGGGACCAGGCCTGGAGCTGATACCTAAAGCCATATTCTATCTACTTAGGGGGACTATAGAGTCATGTCCCTGAAGTTTGTGAAGGAAATCTTGCAGCACTTGGTGTCCCTGAGGTAGCTTTGCTTCTGGGACTTTGGGCACTTCAGATCGTGCAACGTCGTCCATGAACAAAACACATTGGGTATTGGTCTAAATTCCCTATAATACGGGGTCTTATATTTGGGTTCCCATTATAATACGGGTCCCTATATACATTTCCCCCATTTTGGGAACAGTAATTTAGGGAATCCTCCACATGAAGTACCCTCGCGATCAAACCTTGAAGGGTCCTCCTGGGTTGGCTTTCCAGGTTTAGGGTTTAGGGTTCAGGGTTCAGGGCTTGGGGTTTAGGGTTCAGGGCTTAGGGTTTAGGGTTCAGGGTTTAGGGTTCAGGGTTTAGGGTTTACGGGATATGAGAGTTTGTGGATTGCAGCCGTGGATCATGGTTTAGAAATACTGACCAATATCATGGTCCAAGATCCTTGAAGAACTATTCCTCAAGATACTACTTAAGGCTTAGGGTTGAGGACACAGGCATGTTTGCTAGAGAGTCCCCTGCATGCTCCATCCATGTACCCTTGCTCCTGGTTTGTCTGCCTGAGTACGGTCAAATTAAAAAGCAATAAAGAGGCTTGGGCAATTACCACTGTCACGATCCTATGTTCCTTGTATAACTCTTGTATAAGGTGCCTCAAGTAGACTTCAAAGTGATATTGGTAATTAGTTGGGCCCCTGCAATCATTCCGCTTTCTGGCGGCGGGTAACATGCTGCCGAGCTGGCAGAATTCTCAATGCATCAGAGTCAAAAGTAGCTGCCCAGCAGTAACAGAGCTGCCAGTACGAGGACTGACACTGGAAACGCTTTCAAAGAATTATTTGGGTATATCGAGAAATGGTCATAACCCAAAATACTCAAGTTTTCATTATAGCGACCCTGCCAGGACCCCTATAGGGAACATCCCTGCATACACCCGCATGGCTTTATGCATACCTGCGTATTCTCATATACGTATATGTATACATACATACATACATACATACATACATACATACATGCACATATACATGTATATATGTGTATATATATATACACATGTGTATCATCTCTCTATATACCCTTCATGACCTCTATTATTCCTGTGTATGTATATATATATATATATACCATCTCTTTATTCTCTCCTTATACCCATATGGCTTTGTATCAGCTTTTAACACCCCAAAAGGCCATTCCAAACCTGAAAACCCTAAACCCTAAACCCTAAATTACTAAACCCTAAACCCTAAATTACCCTAAACCCTAAACCCCTAAACCCTAAACCAAACCCTAAACCGCGTCAGGTGATTCCTCCCACGTTGCGAGCCAAGGCCGTCCCCTAAGGGTCCAAGGACTCAAATAATAGGGTCCCTTTAAAGGGGTTATAGGGGGACTATATAGGGATAGATGGGGACTATATAAGGGTGCAAGGACTCAAATAATTATAGTGTATTAGGGCCCAAGCACCTTTAATATTATGGTATTTGGGCTCCCTAATACCCTGTTGTTTGAGTCCTTGGACCCTTAGGTTCGCTAGCGGTGATATTTTTGGATTAGTGTTCAGGGTTAAGGGTTATTTCCAAAATGAGAAGCGTCTTCTCGAACTCCTTATAGTAAGTTTGAACCATTTAAAGCGACCTCCCCTGACCTCACCCTACATGCTGGTTTACATAGGGAATAGTACCAAAATTGCTCTAAATTGAGAATTGAAATTATTCTAAATTGCACAGAGTACAGTATCTTGAGGTCTACATGGGAGCAGGGCCCCTATTTATGGAAACCCCAGGGCATCTAAAGGGACTACGTAGGTAATATAGGTGAGTAGTACTTCAGATCCATTCTAGAGTTCCCGATAGAGAGGAAGATTCTATCCTCCTTTCGAGTTATGATGTGCTTCTGATTCAAAAACATTTTGCTACCTGGTGCAATCACAAGCATCGTCTTTTAAGCCTACAAACACCGAATTCTTGCGAGGCATCCAAGGATCCTGTTGTGGTCCCAATATCATCTCTAGGGTCCTTGAGAAACCGCATGCAGGAAGGGGCCTGAACAGAGTGAATGTGTTCAGGGTCAGGGGGATAAACAAACAAGACTTCGGGCTGTGGGCTTAGCTGGGTTGCTGTTAAGGAACTTAAATTAAGGGATTATCCCCCTATAATGGA